TTTTTCACTATTATTTGATTCTCCATCATTGCTCCAGCAAACAAAGGCTACAAGGATACAAAATAACAATATTTTCCATCTAATTTTGTATAATTAATTCCATTTATATCTTGTATAACCTAGAGCTGCTTTGCCACAGATAAAATGTTGCTAGCCGCTTGATACTCTATCATTATTACTATGTTAAAACTAGATACATTCCTTGGTTCCACCATTTCAGACCTTTACAGCAAGGACCTGCCATGCTAAAAGCACAGCGTAAAATCATCCTCATTCCATTTGTTTTCCTTTGGTAGGATTCAGATAGCTTCTTTTCCAAAAACTATCAATTTGTAGAACAGACTCCTGAGAAGATGCTTCCTTGACCACTAAAAACACTTTACCATTTCAAGTTTAGGTCAACTCTTATTTATCCTACATATCCTAATAATCTGCACATACTTCCTCCTACAGCCATGCAACCACCACATTCAGCAACCCTCTGCTTTGAGTGGCTCTTGTAAAAAAAAAATTTAAACCATTCTTAATGTAGATTAGTGGAATAAATGACCAGTTGTTGGCATTACATTTTTTAAAAGTATTCTTCAGTTTAAATATTTTATTTCAAACTTTTCCTTTGTTATAACAATTCTATTGTATTTTTAAAAGTAAAAAGAATAATGCCTCTTATATATTATCTAATTTCAGTCTGAAATAACTTGTGATTTAGAAAATTGGTGAATAAATGTATAAGATCATCAAATGACCCAAATAATTTCTGCTAGGAATATTACTTCAAGACTAAAATAGTTTATTGGGACTATTTATGATAATACATTTGTATTTCTCTGAGCATTAAAAAGAAAAATAATTTTTTTCTGTCATAACACTTGTATTATTTAATATCAAAGTTAGTATAAGTTACCCAGAAGTAATGGTTAAGCAAATTAGACTCTCTGTTACCCCACACTAAAATGCCTATCTTGTTTTTTTTACCATCTCTTTTTCAAATACTTTGCTTCATTCCCCTCACCATCTTTCATTCAGATCTTTGATACTAATAAAAATTTTATATTAAATATATTATATTCATATATTATAAAAAACAAAACAAATTCATTGAATGTTCTGTTAAAATGCAAAATTTTCTTGGAATTTTTATTAGATTCAGTTGAACAAAAAATAAAGTGGTGATAAATTTTGAAGTGATTGCTGTTTTATTAAAATGTAATTAAAAAATGTAAAGATGTTAAATTTATATTGTGCTATTTTAAGTGAGTTTCACACATTATTTCAAACAAGAAAAATCTAACCCCTTGAAATAATTACAAACATTTAAAAAAAAAAAAATTCCCAAGTTAATTTTATCTGAATTTAGTAGCAGTACACTATTATAGTGGTAGATCATCTATCATGCTTACCTCTTGGTTACAGGTTCAAATAAAACCAGAGTTATTTAATTCAAAACTAAGATTATTCAGATAGAAATTTAAAAATTCTGACCTGTATAAAATAGTACAAGTATTTTAGTCAATGAGATGTAGATTAATTGATTCATTTTCTATGGCTTATCAATCCATTGCAGGTTATTTAAAGACAGAAAATATTTTTAGATTGTAAGATTAATTTTTTTTTTTTTGAGATAATGATTTTACTAGTTTACAATTAGTTGGGAAGAAGTGGTTTTATACATCTCCCAAGGATATTTGCACATCCATTACAGCACCTGGTATTTCCAAGCAATCATCCATCTAAGTACGGAACATTGCTTAATTTCACTAATCATATGGGAACTAGTGTTTGAACATGATATAGCCATAAACCAAAGAAACATAGAAATATTGATAGATTACTGTGGTTGTAAATAAACTGAATACACTATTGCCTATGTATGAAAACCTGGTGTGTTAAAATTCAAATTAGCAAAATTTAAATTTTAATGTCAGTAGAAAAGGATAATTAAAACTAAAAATTTATTAAGATTCAAATTTTAAAAACGGCACTTTATGAAATACTTTCTAAATGTAAAAGGCAAAATTATAATTGTAATGCATTATTTCTGCCTTAGTTTGGCTTGAATATAGTTAGTTAACTGCCTGCTATTAAGTATTCTTAATCTCAAGTAAGCTTGGTTATCAAAAGTACTGCAGTTTTTCAATATAAATATCACTTTAACTTATTTTAAAAAGCCATTACTTTAAATTAATATTACTTAACCATAGTCCAGTCATATTTTTGAGTTTGTATCAACTTGCATATGAAAACCAAACAACATTTCTAAGTGACTTACCTGCCAAGTAAGGAAAAAATTGGGAGAAATTCAACAACATCAAATAAGCAAACTTTAAAACCAATTTTCATTGGGTGAATTCCAAAAAGGATCAAACCAATATAAGCTCAGGCCAAATTTTGTGGCTTCAAATAAGAGGTGCTGAAAAGCTAACTAGTAGTGTTGCCATATATGGGCAGGAGCTGCCCATTCTTCACTTCCCAGTCTTGATAGTCCAGAAATGTCTCCTTGTCCTTGTGGGTGACAAATTATTTTCCATGCTATAACCTCTTTCTAGCAGATGAAATGTTGCAAGCCTCTCATTGCTCTATTGCTATTTCCATTGAAAGTGTTTAGACAAACTACATTCTTTAGTTCCACCAGTTCTAACTTTCATGGTTAAGACCTGATTCACTACGCACATTGTAGTGAACCACCCTCTTCCCTTCATATTCCATTGGTGAGATGCAACTTCTAATTGAGCTGCTGCTTCTCATGAACTGCTGTTTTGTGGAACCAATTCCAAGAGGAGGCTTCCTCAATCACTACAATCTTAACCTGTTCAATTCTAGGGTTAAGTTACCTTCCCCATATATATGCATAAATTGTACCTCTTACTCTGTAACCCTCTACCTCTAGTGGCTCCTGGGCCTTGTACAGAGAGAACATCATTGTATAAAATAAGTGACCACTCTTGGTTGAGTTGCCTGGAAGATGGGCATCTAATGATTTTAAAGGGTCTGAAACCATTGATGACACCAGGAATAAATGTTGCTGAAGCTTCTCAGTGCACTGCAATGGTGTTGAGATGTGTTAACAATTAATCAATAAATAGAAAACTTATATTGTTTAGTTGAATTGTTTATCAAATCAATATTTTCAAGCAAGATTTTTCCACAAACTTCTGAATGTGAACATGCCCAATGAGTGCTTGAAGCCAGAATTTACTGATATTTTTAAGCAAGAGTTCAATGTAAAAAAAAATAGTGAAGATGACTTCTATGACAAATATATAAACATGGTTTTAATGCTACTGAAAATATTTTTTTTTCATGCACAAGTTTTTGATTAAAAATACTGTTATTGATTATTAATGAAGTCTGCAAAAAAGTTTTTTTTTCTAGAAAATTCAATTTCCTGTTAAGCAAACTACAAGCAACTTCGGTAAAGTTTTTTCCTTTCTATTTTCTCAAAAATCATAGAATCAATACAATGAACTGATATTAAAATAGTTTTAACTTATTTTTTAATTTACTTCATAACTAAATTGTCAAAAGTAGCAAATATAGCACATGATAGCATCAAATTTTATGCTGTCTAAAACTGATAAATAACACAAGTTTAGTTGAGCTCAATGTCACAATAATGAGACACAGTCAAGATTAAACTTGTTATATGCAATGGTCTGCAAGACTAGCTTGTTAACCATCATGGTGCCAATTAATTTTTAAAAATAACCAAATACTATAAAAACAAAACAAAAAATCTTAACTGTGATAATGGTAGTAAAGAAATGCATAGTCTAGCAACTGTTATGTAATGTACTTATATTATAACTTGATAAAATATCAGGATTCTTCCAGTTTTTAATATCTTAATGCATTTCTATAGTAATAAAATCTCTATGAAAATTACTAAGTTTAAACTATACATGTAGTGTTTTTAGGAAACTTATAAAACATTTCCTGCCAATCCATTAACTAGAAAGAAGGAAATGTTACAAGTATGTTGATTTAAATTCTTATCAAAGTAAGGCTAGCTATCTATCCAAAAAATTGTTTAAAAATTAATTTCCCCTCTCCAGTGAAAGTAATTTGTAAAGAAAAGGATAATTGTGGATAGAAGTTCTCAAGTTTTATTTCTTATAAACAAATTTAATTTTTTGTATTGTGTTACCATATTTGTTGGTACAGAAGACACATTTTTCTTCAAAACTATGAACTATTATGAATAATAATAATAAAAAAATCTGGTTATGTCCAGTGATTTCATAGATTAGCCGTAACCACTTGATGTTTTATATTAATAAACATTTTTCAATTTTAATGAGGGAGGAATGGAACAACTCTGTACAACAGGAAGATTTAGTTATGACCCTTACTAGATGAAGGAAAAGATTGACATTTGCCCAGATGTACATGTGTATGAAGAAATTTGCAGGGGTGGAGGAATAAGTGATATAGTGATTATCATTCATGAAATGTATCAGTAAAGTAATGGAAGAGACTGAGGATGACATTCTCTTTCATAATGATATTGAATGTAATAAAATATCCGATTCCTTTTCAATTGATAATGAAAGCAATGAAGGTTTCAGGTTGAAATTTTGTTCAATAAAAATCCTTCAAATACAGTTGTAGCATTTTTTTTTTTCTCTCTCTCTCTCTCTCTCCCCATAATCAGGTTGTATCTTCTCTACAGAAAAATATGGTAAATTTTATATCCATTCAACAGGTGCAGCAATCTATAACTTCAAAAATTTCTTTTAGAATTTTTATGCATGGAATATAAACAGGATATCTAGTATAAATATGCAACTGTTCAAATAAATTTGATCCCTTTTTCAAGCATCACTTAAAAATTCTAAAATTTAATTTATTTTCCTAATTCATAATAGATGTCAATAGACAACAGGAATATAAAATATATAAGGAAAATAATTTGGGTCTTTTTTTGTTTCTATTTTCAATGAAAAAGAATGACACAATCCATCTAAAGACAATGGAAATATATATAAAGTATTTTGAGTTACCACTTGAATCTGTTTTCATGGCAAAAACAGGACACTGGATTTCCTCAATAGAAGAGTACCTACAGAAAATCAAAAGATGATATGAAAAATCTCTGTTTAAGGATTGGAGCCAAATTACTGGGCCATCAACCAATCATGCGGCTTGTGGGCAAACACTTGCAATGCAATAGTGTTCTCATGCATTGGTGCTTATATCAAAACAATCTTATGAGTCAGTAGAAACACAAGATGCTAACACTTACCTTATGTAGACCTTGCAGCACAATAAGTTCATCTTAAACTATTATTAGGTGTGTGCAAAAGAATCCATTTGTATATTCAATCTCTAGTCTTCAAATATAGTAGATGCTAGGAACTTTTTTGCACACACTTAATACTTTGGTGTATCATAAATGAACTACTGGAACAACTTTGAAAAATATTCAACTATTTTATAATCAATTCTATTTTGCTTTCATTGAAAGCAAATATATTTGTTTTTACTACAACTACATTTTAATTCTAATATTACAAGGAGATATTTGAAAAAAAAATTGAAAATGGTCAGATTAATTTAGTTTAATTTTTAGATTTTTTAAAAAATTTCTTCAAGTAAAAAGAAAAAAAGAAGCTATTTTCTATTGTTTGTAATCATTATTTTTTTTTGTCTTAACATGATGTTAAACAAAATAAATTTAATTTCAAAACTTTAAAGAATAAGTACTTCTAATTAGTGAATTGATCTTGGCCCTGTTAGCATTGGTAAAGATTTAAGATCAAATTGTAGAAGAAATTAAAAATGCAATTGTTTAGATTCAGAAAATTGTAGCTTACTTGTTAATCTTTATAGATGTATTTCAGCATTTGTGATTAAATTCATAAACATTAATGGTTTTAAGACACTATTTTAGTAACTAAAAAGTGAATTGTTATCTATCATACAAGTCTCCAAGTAGAAACATCATGGTAAAGGACCGATAAGTCTATTTTTGAAGATCTATACAATTTATCAATAACACTGGAAACTATAAAATAAGAGTGACTCAGATTAATTATATTTAATATTTCCCATTATTCTTTCAATATAAAGCATTGTTTCAATGTTAGATTTAGAAACTAATATTGAAATTTGGGTTGTTGTAAGGTTTTCCTGTTAGAAAATGAAAGTACAAAAACCCTGTATTTTTATCTTTGGTGTATTTACTCAAAAATCCATTTCTTTTTTTACCTACTGACTGGAGTTTTTTTTTTCATTTTTGTCTTGAATATTCTATAATATTGTTATCCTTCTTATTTCTCCTCTGAAATATACATTTTCATATTTCACTCTAAGAAGTAATGATGTATATTTAATTTTCCCAACAGAAAAAACAATGTATTCATGCCTTTCCCAAGGACAGTAGTGCTAAATTTATGTAAATTGTCCTGGCCACAGTTTGAATTTTATTTGCTGGTTCTATTCTTTATGTTGTTAACCATTAGGACACCTGTAACTCCTTTTTGCATTATTCATTATTTGAAAATATTAGTCAAGAAGATACATATAAAGTTTTGTAAGCTAGAATCATTTAAGTAGAAAAGTTGTAAAAGTATAAATTTTGGTATTAATAATCACTTGAAACAAAAAAAATTTAAATAGAAAAATGAAAATTATTTTTGAATCCTGATTTTAAAAAAAAAAATTGGATAGTTTCAAATGGTTTGAAATCACATTATGTCTTCTACAAAAATATAATTAACAATTTTTTTATGCTGCTGTTGTATGCATGTTGTTATGAACAATTTGGTAAAATATTATAGAATAATTTGATCCTTTTGGTCACTTAGGGAATTTAAATTAAAAAAGATAAATACCAAATGAGTTATAAATGAAGTAAATGTCATTAGGTAAAAATGGAACAAAGTTTACATGCCTGCAAAAGAAATGTATCAAAAGGACATTTTTTTTTTCTCTTGACACTGCTATTACAATGTACTTCCTCAGCAATTTTTGTTTCCATTTTAAAAAAACTCAAACATGTGAAACTGGATTTATGTATTTAAAAAAAAAAAAAAAATACAGTCTAATACATTGGTTTGAAATAGTGTTTAACATTTTTGTTGTCATTTCTTGAGAAAAATTTCAACTGATTTTAGTGAATTCATGTGGCAAGAACAAATGAAAAAAAATGGCCAAAAAATGCATTTCTTTCCAAATTTATAGTTACTCATTATGAGTTTTAAATTTTCTTGTTCTATTGCTCAGACATTTTAATACATTTATGAATAATAAAAAGTTTGTTTTCATAGTTATTCCTTTATAACATGGTAAATAATAAATATTGCATCGTAGTTGGTTCACGTATTTTTATAAATTCATAAATATAAAATTATTCTTGTAAATAATCTAATAAAATGGCATTTAATTCTTTTGTCATTTCTTAAGAACGTATCAATCAAAAAAAAAAATGTAGTGGGAGTATACAGTAATAGTGCGGTCAAGTGAAAAACAGTCTTTTTGATATACTATCTTTTTTTGTGTGGATATGCATGTTAAACTTTGCCAAAAGTTGTTTAAATGTAGAGAATTGGCAAGACAAGAAGTTAGGATTTGAATGGTCGTTAGAAGAGTTAATAAAGCAAATATAAATAGAAAGCAATCAGAAAGAGTGACTGTCCAAACTACTTGCTGGCATGCAACATGATCTTTGTCCAAAACAACTAACTTAAAATTATTCTTTGTTAGTATAAAAAAAAAAAAATCAAAGTTGTTGTTTCAGAGCTTCAAAGCTATGTACACAACATCAAATCATCCTCATTCCTTTGATAAAAGAGAAAGTTCCACTCAGCTTCTTTTCCAGAACTGTCAATTTGTGGAACAGACTCCTGAAAGGAAATCTTAACCTCCAAGTCTAGGGTCAACTGTTATTTATCTTACATATTCTCACTATGAAGCATATATAGGTTGCGGGTGGGGAGAGCATAAACAATCATCCATGCGACTAGCTGCAGACAAATCTCTGAACTGGTGTTTTAGGACCTTATATAAACTGGCTAATATTTACTTCATTTAATAAGTAGAAAATGGTTTATGCAGAACATCACAAGGATGAGAATAAGTTAGAAATACCAGCCTTAGAGGAACTGAAATTTCCACAAGAAAAAACATTGACATATATGTTTTTCTGTTAAGTAATAGTACAGAACACTTTGATTTTCATTTTGCATCTTATATTTTAAAAGTAAAATACTTTTTTTATAAAAGAAAACGTTTTTGCTTGAAATCACAATTAATATTCACAGTAGAATAATTATTAAATACTGTATGAATTAATATATTAAATCCTTAAATGAAAAATAATTGCATAAGCATGTAGATATTGTATTAATGAGAAATGTATGTTTTTTTTTTTTTTTTTTTGCAGGAAATAGATAAAAGCTAGAAACATTGTCAAAGTGAATCTAGAATTTTCCATACCATAAAAGTATAAAGATATAAGAATAAATACAAGGGCAGAAAACAGAAGATGGTATACTGGAGAATTTATTATCAGATGCAGTTAAAGGATAACCCTATTTTTATATAAATTTGTGTGTATCTATCTTGTATACTAGTTAGTGTTATACTCCACTGCAATTAGATCTCTTTCTGATTCATTCTGCATACTGGCTGGATGTGAATGCCACGAAGGCAGAGAATGAAATAAAAAAAAAATAAAAAAAGTTGTTCTCTGCATCCAAGCATCACATCTAGTCTATGAAGCAAGCTCTGGCAATGAAAGCAACACTGGTTAATCATGAACCTTTCCACTGGAAAATTAGATACCCCTGGGGACATATAGACCTGCTTAAAGGCAGGTCTCTGACAATGAACAGACAGTTGCAAGCCACCAGCCAGCATGCAGGGTGCTGCTGCCATGACCTCCTTACTTTGACAATTGGGCAGTTGAGGGCCAAGAGGCCACCAGCTGACAGCCACTTCTCAACATGACCACTCCTTTCAACAACTGTTATCACTCCCAGGCTTGACTAACCACTTCAGTTATCTAGCTTTGACATAACAGCTCAACTTCGACACCACCCAGCTATAAGACACTGTCAACTCTGCAAATCTGACTCAATACAACGGTTGACTATCCAGCTTCAACACCAACCTTGTCATCTCGGCAGCCCACTGCCACCAGCTTGGCATACCAGACTTGTTATAAGGCATTCCTATTGCAGTCATCACTGTGGCCCCAATTCAGAGAACAGGCCTACTAACCAATGAATTGACCCACCACTGTGACCACTATCAACAAACATGTGCACTGACCATATTCTGTGACCTTGGTCAAACAGCACAAGAAATAGGTCAACTCCTGGCAGTTAGTTCCCTTACACCCAATTGCCATCCTGATGATCAGCCACTGAAACTGACATTTCACCTATTTTTTTGACATTGTTCAAAAACCTAATGCTCGTTATCCCTTTCCTCTCGCAACCATTTTATAATGCAACTTTTAGCATTAGCAAATGTGGATAATTATCTACTAATAAATATTGGTGTTTATTTTAGTTTTACCCACACTGACAGATAATCTTTCTCCTTTTATCTATAATTTCTCAAAATATGTTTTTACATTAAATTTATTTAAACTTGGTCCTCACAAAATTAATTTCTATTGCTGGAGTTAAATGTGAAATGGTACTTAGAATGTTGTGGTCTGAAGCTGGTTGATAGTAACCACTAAATTTGAGGAAGTATAACAATAATGGTTGCAACTTTAAGAAGAAAAAGAAATTACTGCTATGTTGGGATCTTTGTTGAGTCAGTTTAAAGTTAGTCAAAAACTGATGAATTAGGCAGGGCAAAGCATTATCAGACAGTAAGCACAAAACAAACAAGGTGAACTTGGATTTTCATTGAAATAAATGAAGAACTAGACAGAATTTAATAAAAAATGAGAATTTATTCAATGAAAATGAATATGGAAAGCAAATAATGTCTTTGAAAGAGAAGTGTGTATATGAGAGAGATAAAAGATAGTTTTGTGCACACAGAAATTTTTGTATGAAGTAAGCTAGACCTATGTGATATATATGCTCTATCTGTTTTTTT